ATGTGCAGAAAGCTTATAAGCAAATTAGACTTTATGGTAAAGCTTTTCAGTGATAATGTGTTGATGATAAAGGGCCAGTTGCTCTTCTCCCTGTAAAAGCCGGAGAAGCCTGCAGCGGCAACAGAAACCTTAAGTGTTATCTCTAAAGGAAAAAAGTGGCGGTTTTAAAATTCCCTCCCCCTACCTTCTCACCAGAAACATAGTTTTCCAAAGCCTTTGGTAACTTAAGACTTTAGAACATTGCTGAATTAAATAATAAAAATTATTAAATATCTAGGTATTTTAAAATGACAAAAATATTGAAATATTAACCTGTTTACCTCAAAAAAAAATCTAGAGGGTAGAGTTTAATCTATTAATTGAATATGTCTTGTATTTTATTTAAAATATATCCTTAAAAATGTAAAAATATTATTAAGTTGAGAAATGCTAAGTATTTTACTTACTATCTGAAAGTTGAAGCTTCTTAAATTCAAATTTAAATTGGGAGAAATTATATAGTTGTAATAACAAAATTCCTAAAGTATAGAAATTTTGAGAAAATAATTTTTGTGTTTTCTCTGAAATAATTAGGAATTCAAAATATGTTACTTATTGGTCTAATTTTTAAAAAGGAAGATTAATTCTGTGATCCCAAGTGAATTTTTTAATACAAACCAGTTTAAATTTAATTTATATCTTTTAATAGTTTTTATAATCTTTTATGATGGTCTCTCCAAGCCCTTGTGGATTCCTGCAACTATGAATCTGAGAGAGGAACTGACAACACGCTGAAGACAAGAGGAGAAACAGTCCAGAGATGGAGATGGTGAAGCCGCCTTGCCGTGCTAGCAGTCAGCAGCTGTGCGTCGCTGCAGGTTGCCCAGGACCAAACCAGAGGTTGGACCTGCATTGCCACCATTTGCCCACCATCCAGAACTAGAATATCATTGCTGGCATGTACACATAAGAAAACGTTGGACATTGAAATTGGGACTCAAAGAACTGTTGGCCCAGAAAGAAACTTACTACAGACTGATTCATCTGCCTCTCAGCATAACCACTATTGCTTGTCTCATTTTTGTTCTCATATGTTTATTTCTAGTCTACAGATGTGGAATTACTAAAGAAAAGAAACGGGGGAGATGTGGAAAACTGCCCATTGTCTTCACTAGCAGAGAAGTGCAAACAAGGATCCCGGAACCCTGGTGAACCTTGAACCCACGGCAAGGGCCTGAGTTATGACCCATCGTCTAGTCCTGACAATGGGGGCTCAAGCTATTTCCTGATCAAATAGTCTCAGAGTACATCCGTCTAATATACACTGACCTTTAAGATAGCCTGTCTGTTACTGCAACTACTTGCCTGGCTAAGGACTTTAGGTGTAACCAAGGTTGAATAAAAGGCTAGCGAGGCCTGGGCACAGGTGGAAGTCCTTTC